GTGTGCGGTGCGATGGTACAGCCCTGTTCCATGCCTTGCCCCCTTCCAAAGCCTGGAATGTCATGCTTGGTCAGAACAGATCACAGTTTATGTGTAAGTTCAGTGGAACTGGAGTCCGGTCTATAGGGGTCCGCTCTTTCGGTGCTTCACAACTGTGTTTCTTGGACATAAGGCGGCCATTGAGTCTCTGGCACCATGAAATCACCAGGCTTTGAAAGCAAATCGCATCTGTGAGGGTTGGTTGGTTCCCAAGTCTGACAGAAAATCCGCTCATTTCTTCTCGGGTGTGTTGAAGAGATGTTTTCTTGCTGGTAAAGCCGGTGAGTACGAAAAAAATTGAATGTATCATACTTTTTCAGTATTTTTGCTACCTTTGGATTGTCAAAAAATGCAACATAGATTTGTACATATACTACATTATAGTAAACTGTACTTTGAATGCACTTTGAGAGACTCTCAGAGACTATGTACAAAGTTATGTAACATACAAATGCAAGTCTTAGCCATCAGAGCTACTTTTTTTCTTCTGTTAGCCATTCCAAGAAATTGAGGTTTTAAAATTGCATAAAGATCTTTTGAACCACAGTGCTTGTTGTTTTATAATGCATGTAAGAACAACATAGCACAAGCACAATACAGTCCAGTACAGTACAGAATGTAACATACTTTTTTTATCATAATTGGTACTGTTGCTACAAATTACATATAAGATACAATAAGGTTCTTGTGTAGTTCACCTACTAGTGTAGATTACAAGCTTGTTTTTATGTTTTCCCTGCTTGTTTTCTTCCCTCTCCTGAGAAGTATTTGCCTGAACAAGTGTGGTTACGGCTGACTGAGGAGCTTTGCATGATTTCTTCTAGCGTCAAAAACTCACTGAGCCTTGTATAGGCTGTTTATATTTCTTGAAGTAAAAATAGTAAAACGCTCATTTTGGGATTAATGTTACAGAAACAGTGCCCATATTTGCCAGCAAATGTTATATATCACTGATTGAAAAGGAAGGCATGTTTTGCTGTGTACAATTACTTTCCCATTCTCCCAGAGTTTACCAAACTGTGTCATGTGGTTAACCATAATGTTACAGAAATAGTGCCCATATTTGCCAGCAAATGTTTAACATAGCACTGATTGAAAAGAAAGGCATGTTTTACTGTGTAAAATCCCTCTCCATTTTCCTAGAGTTTACCAAACTGTGTCATGTGGTTAACCATAATGTTATAGAAATAGTGCCCATATTTGCTAGCAAATGTTATATAGCACTGATTGAAAAGGAACTCATGTTCTACTGTGTACAATGCCTTATAGTTTCAGACTTTACCAAACTTTGTCATGTGGTTAACCAGCTTGTGTGTAAGATTCCCTCCCCACTGTGAGCTAATTACGACTTCAAGATGTTAGGATTTCTTGATATGATTACCTGACAGCAGTTGGGGGTGGAGCGGCCTTGAGTGTTACGTCTGCGAGCACCCCCCCTGGTTGTGTGTCTCCCTACGTGCCCTTTGTGCTGGTACCCCCAGGAATTTTACTGGCATTTTAAACATATTATTGACTATTGACGCTTGAGGTCATTCGTAACTCGATGTTTTACAAACACGTGTAATAAGGCTAATGAAAAATGTCCACAGCCCTCCAGGCTCAAGTAGACTGTTAGTCACAACAAGGAGGTTTTAAATCACAAGTAGGAGAAACTTACAATTAACCTTCTCCCTGCTGCCTAACAGCATAACGTATTGGTATCAAATGCCTCCCGTAGCATACTGAAGGTTAATGTAAGTCATGGTCATCTGCAGTCTAGAACTAAATGGTTTATGATAACAAGAGTTTCTGTAACTGTTTGTACATGTTTAACCTTCTCTCTGCTGCCTTACCCTTAACCAATAGAAAGTTGGTGATCAAATGGCTACTTCAGTGTGCTGAAGGTTAACAAGAAGTATTGTAGGAATCTTGGTTTGTAGACATGAACTACCAATAGTCCCAAACCAAGGAGGTTATATTGGGAGACTGTCTTGACCAAATGTATGTATGAAACGTCAAGAAAGCCAGGGTTGTCGGTCTAATTTGTAAAGCTGTTTAACACCAAACTGTCACTGTTATCAAAAACTCTATTTTGGCCTGTATGTTTATATTGTGGGTCTGGCATCCTGTCCAGAGATAACAAAGTAATATTTGTTTTGAAGATGTTTGAGCATTTGAAACCTCCCCCCTCTAAATGAGTTGTCAACAGATCAGCTGACAAAAACTGAGCACCACCCCTTTTAGTAATGGTTTAACCCTTTCTGATATACAAATGTACTAGTAAATTTTGGACCAGCCCAATATATATATTTTAGTAGGAGTTTTATTGATTTGACATTGAGTATGAATACACACCTTATTTGTAATGGTTCAATCAAGCACTTGTTGTGATTTTACAGGGCTCATTAGCTTTTGGGGGTATTTTTTCAAGTATAGTACAAGATTTCTTGTCTTTTTTTCCAACTATATGATAATAAAGTTTCCAACATTTTGTACTTTCCCTGGTGTGTACAGTCTAGAACAAAGCTTTTTTTCTTGAAAGTGTACTGCTGCCTGTTTGTTTTAATTGACTCTGTTGATTACTATCTCTTTTTGTAATGTTAACAAGGTGTGAACAATTAAACTGTTCCAATCCATTTCATGCTCAATCCAATTACCATAGGCGTGGTGGTTTGATCTAATTGCGATTGTTTGAGGGGCTTTTAACAAACAAATGCAAACCACATTGGACACTTCACACCCTTTGTTGTCCATGTCCCTAGATGGTATATAAACTGGAAGTCCCTTTTTACTTGTTAATTAAAAAGTCAATTTGCTCGGGAGGGGGTAGAGGAAGGGAGGATTGTTTGTTTGTATCAGTTTGACTTGTCTGTTGTTGAGTGAGGAGCATTTGGAGTTACTGGGACAGAACAGGACTTCTTTCTCAGGAGATTTGCCTGTTTTGAATCTTTGCATTGGGATTTTGGTGTCTTTCCTTAGAAGGCATCACTGTCAACTGTAACTGGTATGTATCTCTAGTTCTGTGTTGTTTTGTAGCATGTAGAAATGCCAAACTGTTGAATCTTGGATTTGCCTTTTTGCATAGTGATTTTGGTGTCTTCTCTCTTTACTGAAGAGCTCAGTTTTGAGAGGTTTGATCATACTAAAGTGAGATCTATAAGATGCAAGTATATGATAGGGACATAGCCAATTTGAAAATTCAAATAGGTCAGTTTGTGGTTCTTCCTCTTTTTATTTCAGTGTAAAGAAAGTTGTATTAAAGTAAATGTTGTTGATCCTTGTCTGTAGATGGCAGTGCCAGCCAATTGCTCAGAACATGTTCCAAATGACGTCTTGACTTCTTGGTCTGCGATGGTGCATGATAGGGACTATCATAGGGTATATTATAGGCCTGAGATGGTCTCCTGTCTTATCTAAGTACATGTAGTTAACAGCTGACTTTATGGACTGTGACATCTTTATGCCAGTTCGTATGGCTATAAACATGTAGTTGTGGTTCCAAACAACTGTATTTATCTTTACGCTGTAGTGAAGTCTTTTGGGAACAATGGAGGGACTTTGTCCAAAGCTAGTTTAAGACTTTTACTGCCCAAGGCCCTATTTAGGGGCTTCGTCAACAGTCAATCTCTCAAACTTCATTTTGACATTTTTGTCTGACAGCTAGCAGTCAACAACCTTGAGAGTGACAGTTTTGCTTCTTGTGAGAATTTTTTCTACTTGAAACAAAAATATTGTCAGCAGCGCTTGATTTAGTGAGTGCTGCTAGATGTGTTCTCTTTCTTCATGCAGAACATGTAGAGTCGGTCACACATCTTGGTTCGCTTGCACAGCACTTTTACAGAAAGCCACTCACCCGTCCCACCCTTGAAAAGGTTCTAGACTCAAGACAACCAACAAGCAATCTTGTAAGATTTGTAATCTGACCACAACTTTCTGTCCTTGTAATATCCTTACATCAGGGGATTACTGCGGCCCCTCTTGACCCTGTGGTTAAAGAAACAAGGAGTAAGCTTCTTTCTTTGTGAAGGATTTTGGATAAACCTCGCTCTAGGAGCTCTTGGGAACCTTCAGTTGCAAACTGAACAGGAAATCACAAATTCTAAGGCAAGAGGAGGCCCTCAGTACTTTTGGGGAGTATGTTTTATATTTTGCCTTTTTTTCACCGTACAAATGCATAGTTTTACGAAAATAATATTGAGCACCTTTTGCATCATTGAGCAATAGATGAAGTAGAACTGACAGCTTGATACGTGATGGGAAAATTTGGCAGGCAGATGGTTTCAGTTCAGTGAAGGATAAAGTTGGCATTTGGAGCTTGACATTTACTCTTTTGGTGATCCTGTCACTCCTGTATTGAGATGTTACCTCTGTGGACTGCAAATCTTCTGCCAGATATCACATTTTTCACAACTAGGACTGTTATGGTGCCATGACATACAATGTTGTTTTCGTAATTCTACAATAATACTTGTACTTGTACTTGGTACTCTAAAGATATAATTTTACATCCCCAACGGAGAATAGAGCAACTTTTTCAATTTGTTTTTCAGTATTTGTAGCTTTTTTATACAGCAATTTACAAGGAGGCTTTATATGTGTATCTATAAATTTTGTCATTTGTTGGGAATTTTATAGGAATGTTTGAGTGTATTTTTGTTTGGGTTGCAAATGGTGCAACAACAGTTTCCTGTCAATTAGGCTGTTTAATGGAACCCTTTGATTAATGATACCCAGCCTTTTCTGTTTTCATCTTGTTCTGTTTCATCAGTTACTGTTAGCTGTGTGTGATTTTTCTATGACGAAACATGAAGCAGAGTATTTCTTTGATATCAGAACTTCTGTACATCATTTTGTTCAGCCTACTGATCTATAGCTAAGATATGTGAAACATCCTGTAAAGTGTAATTCTTTATCATAAAATTAGTGTATACTATTTTTTCACGTGTCTAATGTTCGTCTTCATTTTTCTCCGTCTTCTCCAGATCGAGAACATCGAAGCGTGCTTGAGCTTCCTCGCAGCCAAGGGAGTCAACATCCAGGGTCTTTCTCCTCAGGGTAAGCATAGCAGAGTATTCCATCACTGCAGATACAGAATGCTAGATGTTTTGACATGCAGTACATGTACATTGTAGACTTGCTCTCCAAGCAGAGGTTTGGATTTTGTGCTATTTTGGACATGTTTTTAGGCTTTTTTATCAGGGTTTCTTTTTTGCACTGGAATTTTTTTCCCACCCAACCCAACCCAACCTCTGCTGGCAGTCGAAAGCATCAAATCAATGCGCTATTTTGGGTTGGGTGGAAAAAAAATCAAGTGCAAAAAAGAAACCCTGATAAAAAAGCCAAGAAATAAAAAAACATACCAAAAACAACCCAAAACCCAAACCTCTGCTTGGAGAGTATGTAGGCTTGCCTGGGTACCATCCTGGTTAGTTTACGTTCGCTCCGATAGTTGCTACCCACAATCATTTCTTTCTTTCAGTTCAGAAGGTACGTAGATATCAGGTATACAAACATTCCCAAACTTCCTTCTTTGCCTAAGTGTTTAGTTCCTGTTTAGAGTGAGTATTGTTTGCATGATTGTTTACTCAGCCATGTTTGTGTAAAAAGCTAATAGGCCGTGTAATTTAATGTAAACACTCAGCTCTAAATAAGCTGTTTCTGCCATAGTTATTTAAATCAATGCAAAGTGCCTTCAAATACATAAGTCCAAATCCTCGCCAAATCCTGTTTTACCACGACTCATACTGTATGTAGAAAACTACCCCCTTTCTAACTGTTAGTGTTAGCTATAGGAAGGGCATGTTATTGGTTAAACTTAAAGACATCAACAAGAAGAAAGCATACATGTATGTTCAAAAACTAAATGGAGAGACTGGCCACCAAAAGCTGATGTGTACAAGTTGATTTTCTTAGCAGGGTTGTCTGAATGAAGTTAGCTGTACGTGTAAGCAAAGACTTGAGTCCTTTCCTAGTCACCAAGGGGTTATTATTTTCTCTAAAATTTTAGTAGAAATGCTTTAATTCCATGTAATTGTTTGGAAGAAATGGAAATTTCAGAGGGTAGAAATATTTGAAAATTTTTAAAACATTCTAACTAGTTCTCAGGAAGAGAAACATGGTATAGGCCCCTGCCTTAGGCAGAACTAGTGCCAACACTACTACTTAGTAGTAGTACAGTTATTGTACCAGTATATTGAACAGACAGCTGTCACCTGTGCCCTCTGACCAGCAACACAAAAGCACAGCAGGTACAACTTGTCTCCACCCTGAGAACACCATTAAACACCAGTCAAACTGCCCTCAAACATTCACCTGTCATTTTAGCTGTATGGATAAAAGGGTTGGCCCACAAATTATCCTGTTCAGTGCACCAAATGGCGAAGAAAAAGGGCAAACCCGATTTTCATGGTTGCAGACCCAGAGCGCTTTGGTGACCTCATTTATTTCAACAATATCTTTATTCAGCAATTCAGTAACGTTACAGTTTCTAAAAAGAGGGATTTGAGAAAAATTGAAAAAAAAAACTACATGACAGGATACATACAAACTCCTACTTCCTAATCCTAGTGAGCCACCCAAAACTATACTTCTGCCATGAATCAGCATACTGTATTGTCACTGAGCAAGGAAAGCATCAGTTGTGTACAATTGTGACAAAACCTCTAGGCAGTTTCAGATGTGGGAAGCCATGGTCAGTGCAAAGGTTGCTCAAAAAAACATGCCACACTATCTTTAGAAGTTTAGGGGAGTGGAATTTCCATCAACAAGACCCCTCAGGGATGGGTTAGGAGGGAGCACGCCCCCCACCCCCATACTTCCTCACATTCATCACCTGGGTGTGAGAGGTCAGCCCTGTGTTGACACTCGTCTCTGCAGTTTTTAGAAAGAAATGTTTCCTTTTGTGCCCCCTGGTCTCTGGGTGAAGTCTAATCTCCAAGCAGATGTCAGATGGCAAAAGCATTATTAGAATAGAGGGGCCTCAGCTGCCCAGCAAATGGTAACTGGCAAATGGATGTTGTCTTTGCAGCCAATGAAACATCTGCTTGGAGATTATGTCTGGTCAAATCATCTTCTAACTCCATGGTCCCATGTAGTCCCTACATAGTTTTACAGAATATTTTTTGACAAGTTAACAATGATGTTTTGAAAAAGAATCAAAGAAATGAAAGCAAAAAGATGTGACTACAAAATCTAACAGATACTAAAAATATGACAAAAAATTGTCTGATATGGTGTTATGAAGAAGAAAATATGAGATTGAACCAGAAGAAGAAGAAATTAAGGTCTAGATTTAACTGGGTTTGAGGGAGCCAGATTTATGTAAAGCTACATGTAAGTGGACTACACAGACACAATTCCTACATACATCAGCCCTAATGCTTTGCCCCATGTTTATTCAAGTGTACAATTTAGCCTCTTCCATATCCACTATAAAGAGATTAAGGGTCTCTGCCCAGGCAACACAGTCTTCTTCCTGATTAATCCGATTTGAGAAGACTTCCAGAGAGTGGTTTCCCACAGTCATGTACCACAATATAGGTCAACAGATGTGACTCCTATAGTCCATAGCACAAAAAGTCTAATCCAACTTGTGGGAGAGTCCATTCTTTGGAAGGGGAGACTCGAAAAGGAGAGAGAAAGGTGCTGGGTGAATGCTCAAAAATACAGGATAGAGCAGAAAATTAGAATTATGTCATAAGCTCATTTACTAAAGTAAGAAAGAAGTAAAACTTGCAAGGTGTAAGGAAAAAGTAGTGTGCCAAAGAGTCAATGTGTAAAACCAAATCATGCCAGAAAGTTACTTTTAAGCCATGAAGCCTGATCGTCACATGGTCCTTAAGCCAAGTCATAGGCAAAACCTAACGACTTGTTGCAAGCTGATGCCCTCTTAACATGCAATACGACCATTTAGATAGTCTAGAGCACTTAAAATCCCATTCAAACTACTCTGTAATTAACCGAGCTGCACCGGAAACTTCTGTAGCTTCTGAAGGTAAAACCTGCCTGTTTTCACAACTTTCTTGAAGAGTTTATTGGGTGAAAGTTGGCCTCTAAGGTGTTGCCAAGTCATCAGGTGCATGTTTGTGGTTTCAGTAATTTGTGTGACAAAGTGGTTTGTCACTGCTAATGCCAGATGTTCAGGTAGACAGGTTGCTTTCCCTGTGACCTACTTTTAGATTCTATGTCTTCGAATGAAGTATTTAAAACTTCTCTTGTGAACGAAGTAATTTTTCTTCCCAAACTTTATTTTATTGTGCAAGAGTTTTGGTGCCAAACCGCTATATAAGCAAGCTCTGGTCCTTCTCTTGATCTAGTACTACAAGTAGTTCTGAACCTTCCCTCTGTTCCACGGAGATGTGGGATGGACACTATCTAAGTTATATAACCTTCTCCCAGCTGCCTGACTCTACAAACAATAGAAATTCCTAAAACCTAAACAGGGTGAAGGTAAAATGGTCTTCTCCTTCTCTAAAGCTTGTACAAGCGCTTCTGAGCCTTCAATCTTCTTGTTTCGCAGTGATCTGTGATGGAAACTTTAACCATATTTAAAGCATAGCCAACAGAAATTTGGCGCCAAACGTCCACCCTAGCAGGCTGAAAGTTAACGCGATTCTTGGACCTCCCTTGAGCCAGTACAAGCAGTTCTGAACCTTCCCTCTTGTTCCACAGAGGTCCAGGATGAAAACTATAACCAACACAAATTTGCTACCAAATTGCTACCTGAGTAGGCTGAAGGTTTAAGTGGTCATAGACCTTCTCTTTAGGCCACACCAATTTAATTTCTTGGTTAACGGATTTTTCTAGAAAAATAATGAACCGGGCGGGCGAAAAAAAAATAAAAAATAAAAACAGGCCTAGGCATCGTATTATGGCCCAAAATGGTACGATAGGAGCCATGAAGTCAACACACCAGGCTGGTTCAAAATTTAAACAATGAATTTTGACCTTTTTATGATACCATTGCATTGAAAGATGGAATAACTGTAACAACTAGGATGAAAAGGACTGTTTTCAACTGTTCAGGGCAAAATATGAGCATTTTGCAGTTGATTCTGAATTTTTATTTTTATTTGCAAATCAGAAAAAATTGAAGCGGCGAATCCGTTAACCAAGAAATTAAATTGGTGTGGCCTTAGCGCTTACAAACAGTTATGACAGTTCTGAACATTCTGTCTTGCTGTTCCACAGAGATCCGTGATGGGAACTTGAAGGCGATCCTCGGGTTGTTCTTCAGCTTGTCCAGGTACAAGCAGCAGCTGCAGCAGCAGCAGAGGTCGCAGGGGGCAGCAAGGTCGCAGGCGCAGACAGCTGACCAGCCGCAGTCCAAGTAAGTCTCATTCATTCATCTCTCAATAGGGGAACATAATTCTTAGAGAACTGTTACATACCATTTTTATCCTTCTGGAGTCTAAATGTGTAATGCTAAAATTGTTTTGATACAGTATAGTAGATTTAGATTTCCTATGTTGGTGTTGATAGAAAATCAGATCTTTCTGCTGCAAGGCACTTGAGCACTGAAGACTATGTGCGGCATTGTACTGGTTAGGTGGGAGAAAGGCTTATGTGGGTTATTGTTTGGGGTAGAGGAGTACATTCAGTTGCGAGCATTGTCAGTAATGCCATCTAGTGAAAGAAATTGAAACTGCAGCAGTTCACTTAGGCTACTGGAAAGAAAGAAAGCATATTCTCCTTGGCTCAACATGTAAGGGGTTTTGAAGTAACAACAAGGCTCAAAAACAAGATGGATTATAATTTGAGAGGCTTCTTGTTGATTCATTGAAGGGATTCCAAGAAATTCTGTACCAAAAATACTAAAAAATACTTGACTACTTCTTTTCCAATACACTACTTTTCCGTTGTTTTTCCACTTCTTCTGCTCTTGCAATGTTTGAAAACATCCAGTAGCCAAGGATTTGAATTGGTTTTTCTTTACAAATCTAAAACAACATTAAATCTTTCATTATGGCCCTTTGCCATTTCTCACGGTGGTCTCTGCATAGACAAACTCGACAATGTTCAAAATTGATGACAGGTTGCCTTTGTCACGTAAATGCCAGATGGACATTACTGATGCGTGCCGTGTCTTCTTCGAAGAATAGATGTTGACAAAATGATGAGACTGTACGAGGAAAAATGGCTTCAGGCTCAAGACGTCTGGGCTGCAGCCATTCTTATTTCTTCATAAATTGATTTTCCATGAAATTTTGAAGAGTCATAAGAGGTCCATTTCATGCTTGAATGTTACAGCAACAACCAAAACGCTTCCATTTTTTTCAACATTAAATTTTTTCTAAAGCCTTAGAAGGGTTATAATGCATACCATAGTCCCAGTAATACTTGTAATACTTCTCTAACAACTGTCTTTTTGCTCCCTGGCTTTCCAAAAGACAAGAAGAAGTGTGGTAAGTGTCTTTTCTAAGCTTCCTACCTGTACACCCCTCTTATCCCAAAGTGGTAAGCTCCCACCAGGTGCTTTTATCTTGCTGTTTCTTACCTATCATTTTGCCATTGTCTGTGAACTGCCGTCTGTAAAGCATCGATTTTCAGACTCGGTGGTTGTCCAAACCAACATGGGGAACTATCCCGATGTCTACCTGAAGGAAGAGGTTGGAACAGAAGACTGGTGAACTGATTTTACTCCCTTTTTTTCATGTTTGCAGGTGTTCAATGTAATAACATGTATGTTGCACTTTTGCAGATGTTAGCAAGCTGTACAAACAAATACATGTTACAAATCTCTGCACTGTACTTGATAGGACTAATGCCTCTGTTACTGTTACAGTTTAGGGAACAGTTAGACCTGTGGAGTTTTGCTTTTTTTATATTTTTACAGATATTTGTTATTATAAGTCAAATAGAGCTTAGGAGAGCAAGCTGTTTTTTGTCAAAAGATGAGGAAATTTTTGTTGTGCCTAGCTTCATTGACATTTCCTGTATGCTTGACATTTTTAAAATGACAAGTTATTGTTTCTCTGAAGAATGCTGTAGAAAAGAAGAGTCTGAGAAAATCTTTTCACTTCTGCATGTTTCGAAAGACATCCTGTTTTGTATTGTTAAAAACTGTTCCCACCACAGAAATTGCCTGACAACACTAATTTCAGTGTTTCTATACAATTTCCTTGGCATGTTAGCCCCGGTACAATTCTAAGGCCATGTTGATTTGATTATATGGATGACATCCTCTGGGAACCCCAAAACTGATGCGCGCGTGCGAATAAAAAAAAAGTTTGGCAAAAAAAAAGTTGCTTTCACTATTAAATCTACGTGGTCATGAAGGTTGAACAAATGGCACAGAATATGTTATGGCGAATAATCTACTCTTCGAATTCATTTCTTTACATTTTTGTCTTTTTTCCTTTGATTTTGGCATTCTACGACATTGGTATCATTTCTAAATGTTTTCCTTGCAACTTATGGTATATTTTTGCTCATTTAGTAACTGTTTTGCACGATTTACAGTATGGTTGAAACTTTTTTTTTTTGGAAACGGCCGAAAATTATGCGCGCGCGGATGTCATCCATATAATCAAATCAACATGGCCTATGGTTGAAACTTTTTTTTTTTTGGAAACGGCCGAAAATTATGCGCGCGCGGATGTCATCCATATAATCAAATCAACATGGCCTAAGATGGCAGAAAAGTCACAATCCTCACAAACTTAGTTTATCTCCATAGAAACTGACAGCATAGCCTGGAAATGACAGAAAAGTTGACTTCACCAGCAAACAACCATGCCTATAAAGTCTTTCAGTAAAGTCGGTATCGAAGAGAGCCTGACTTTTGTGGCAAGTCAACCTTACTTCCACACCAGACGTGTAATTATACCACTCGGTAACTAAACTGAAATACGAGAGCAAATTTAGCAAAAAGATTAAAGGACGCTTCCCCTGTCAACCAAACTTTTTGACAAGTAAGGTGCAGCTTTGTTTCAAGCCTGTGCACCCCTCAGACAGTGCAGGAAGTCTAGTAGTGTAGGGGGGTATTAATTAGGGTATGAGTAATAGGTATGATTACAGAGGGATTTTCCTGTAACGTTAGTGTCTTGCAAATTTTGTGGAGAAAAGAGGTAGGAATTGAGTCTAAATATAAGTTTAGGAATTCAGTTAACTTGCTGGTCGTTTTCTAAATAACGGACATTTCAGAAACGACTTAACTTCACCCTGATTGACAGGAAGTTAAATCAGTTTACGGTAAATCTTGCATTTTGTTTGTAGTAAACTTTTCTTACTTCAAGCTTGTACTTGTGCCTAGATAAGGAAATAGTCGGTATTTAAAGAGCCAAAGAAAAAGTATCTCAAGAAAGTATTTGTAAGAACTGGAGCATATCTTTTTCAATGGTTGGTATAAGACAGTAACTTCTTGTTGTAGATATTAGTAACTTTACGGTAGATGCAAATTAGTTGGTCAGTGCAAGTAGACCTCAAGTCAAATACACTGTGTACACTGGAAGTGCCTTCTGAATTCTTTGCTTGCTTTTACGAAGTAACTGTGAAGAACGCAGTACTTCGTTAAGAAGACCACAAGCAGGTCAGTTAAGACTTCAGCATCATTGGTAGGTTTTAACTAGATTGTATAATCTTTCTTTTTCAAGATGTTATGTATTTTTTGACAAACTGCATGTGTGAAATGTGATAGTACAAGATTGTGTCATTTAGGCAAACAGTTGATAAGTTGGGGTGACTCAATGTTTGACTTGAGGAATGCTTCCTTCTTGGAAAAGGACAGGAGAAAAGAAGGTCTCGTTACGACTAGATTGTTTCAGATTCAGAAGATGGAACCTATGGAAGAAATGTATTCTTGTATGCTTCATATAAGGTTAAGATTCTTGTGAAACTCTCTGTACAATTTGCACTTGTAGAATTATGTCAATCAGGCAGTCCTTGTTGGGGAAAAGGTTACTAATGGCCAATTTACATCTTTTAAAATACCGACAAAAAAATTCTTGGAACATTCTTGGTCCTGTGACTATATGTTGTAGGTAGTGGGACATAACTTGATGTTATGTACTACTGTGCTTTGTTGTTAATTAAGTCTAGATTCTTGCTTTTTTTCAGAATGGAATGTGATGATACGAGCACCAGATTTTGCCGCAGTTTTAAGAGCCTGCATTATTTGACGTGGATGTAATTAGAGGTTAAAAATGTTTAACAATGTCCTATTTCTGTACCCCAGGCTTCCTGCGCCCAAAGCCTCCAGCAGAAGTGCCAGTAACCTGAATCGTCGCAGCCTTTCTGCCGCCGACAAAAATTGCATCCAGCGGAATTCTCAGGGGTCAACGGTTTCTACGACCAGCAGCGAAGGTGAGAAACATTTATGGGATGTTACCAAATTGTCTGCATTTTTGTCTAATGTTTTTGAAGTGTTATGAGATGGATAACGATTGCAAGAAAGGACAGTCCCCAAAGCAGCTTCTCTTCAAATACAGTGTAGCAGTGCCCAATTACAATACAAATTGAAAGATTGGTTTATTTCAGTAAGATCACATTCAATACCATGGTATGGCCGAATTGAGGTATGACTGAAAAATTAAGATTAGTCACTGGGACTCATATGAGGGATATAACGTCACTGATAGTTATAGATTAAAACTCATTAGAGGTCTCAAATGAGCAACATTAAGAAACAGTAAATACAATTTTTAACGAGTTTAAAGTTGTATGTAGTCTATTACAGAACATTTGTGGAAGAGTTTCTTACCATAGCGTTGTTTGTTTCCTGTGCAGTATTTTTCCTACATAGCTGTATTTTGTTTCAGGTCCTCCTGTTGCCAACGGAGGATCGAATATCCCGCAGTTATCGTCCAAGTCCAGCCGTGTGCCCTCTGCTAAATCAGACAAATCCGACTCTTCCAAGTCGGGTGCAAAAACAGCCGGTAAATCTACAACGACAAAGTCTGTCACCAAGTCTGCTTCCAAGTCGTCTGTGGCAAAATCCCCCGGTAGTGATAAAAGCGCAGATAGCACGCTTTCTAGAACTGGCAAGAATTCTATGCTCGATAAGTTCAGGTTCTTTGGAGGATCAAACTCGAAAAGTGCCTCGAAGAGCGGCGGACCAACAGGGACTACCTCAAAATCCAGCAGCAGTTCTAGCGTAAGTACGACCAGTGGTGCTACCGCTTCCGAGCCGACGCAAGCCAACGCCAAATCAGGAATCAAAGACGCGGCAAAGAGAAGGTTTGGCAAGGCTCTGAGCAAGTCTAATACAAAAGAGACGACCAGCAACAGCAAAACAGCCAGCACTACTGCTGTGAAGAAGACTGCGAAAACTAGAACAGACACAAAAGCGACTGCAGTTAAGGGTAAAGACACAAAATCTACAAAAGCTTCACCTGACAAAGGAGCAGAATCAAAGGGTAAAGCTTCTGCGGCCAAACATACAACTGATGAAAATGGTACGATAGAAACAAACACAGGAGTAAAACTTAAAAAGTCGTCCTCGAGGATTGCCAGTTTCATTCCTAAGGGCACTTTGAGAAACACTGCAAGCATCCATCAGTTGGCACCCAAGGCAGACTCAAGTTCGCATGAACAGTCGTCTTCTAGTAGCAATATACCAGTGGCGGGATCGAAAATGCCTGGAAAAGCCATATCGTTCGGGCTTGGTAGAAAATCAGCCAACACTGAAAAGGACAAGGGTGTTGTGTACGAAAACTGGTCTGCACAGGGGAGAACTCAGCTGGACTCAGCAAAGACGGGGGCCAAGCTTTTTGAGGCTGGTAGGCAGGCGTCCAATGAGAATCTTCTCTCTGAGAGTAAGCGGGCAGCCTCTGGTAGCATTAACTTCTCGCCTGCCCACGCGCATGTAAACACTGCAACAGTCGCTCCTTTCAGTCATATAGCAACGTCGCTTCCTAACAGCGACAGTAACGTCAGTTCTAATTCCAACTCTCACAGCGACCAATCCAAGTCTACCTCCAGTAGCAAAGACAGTGTTGTGTACAGGCCGTCCGCGGACGAGGTCTCGGAAAGCGAAGCTGAAGTCAGTGCAAAAAGGGCTGCAAAAGACATTGCAAATCTGAGACAAAATCTGGAGGACACGATCTTGAGCTTGCGGAGTTCCCAGATTAACAGAAGTACCCTTGAAACGACCTTTGGAAGTGACGACGTCTTCACGCAATCTCACCCGAGGACGAGCATGGAAACGGTTTTCAGCGAATCTGGAGCGCGAACCCTGAACAGGACTCCTGGTCACTACTCCAGTCTGCGTTCCGTAAGCCTGGCTTCCAACGTCATGCCTGTACAGGGGGTCAGAGTTCAAGCTGGGGAGGGCTTCGCCTCGCCACTTATGCAACCTCGACTCTTGAACTACCCCTACCAGACCGGTTCCCTCAGGAGGACTATTTCCAGCCGAAGCACCATGGTGCAGGGAGACATCCCGGAGAGCAGTGAAGAGGCTAACCTTGACCTTGACCTCACTGGAGGTTACGTCAGTGATGGCGACGTTCTCAGCAAAAATCTTCGATCTGACGACATCGCAAGCGGGTAAGTGAATATACTATATCTAGTCACACTGTACAAGTAGGTTTGTAGAGATGAGAAGGACCTATACTAGCTATAGTATGGTAGTTGCAGTATTAGCTATGTGTCGTAACAACTGTCTTATGTATACCTCCACTCTACGATCTTTGGTCCTCGCCACCAAAGATCTGGCTAGAGTGAAGGAAGTAAATGTAGGACGATGCGTTTTATTTCTGTGCATTTCACTAGGGGGAAGAAAGACAATGTTAGAACCGAGCTGGTTAACTTGGTGCCCAAACCCTGGCCTGGCAAAAGTCAGGCTGGAGAAAATCAAAATGACAAGAGGTAAGGGGCGTGGTGTGGAGTAGAGACATCATAACACTTCTAGGTGTCATAACTGAAGAAAAAAATTAATGATCCTTGAATGGGCTAACTTCAAAAGTTGTTGATTTTTAGAAGTGCAAGGTGAAAGGTAGAACAGGTAGAATTATAGTAGAACTCTTACTTGATTCATAAAGTTTGACCACATCTCTCTTACTACATTCACATGTACTTTGACACATTGGTAGCTTCTGTGTCTAAAACTTACAGACTGAGTATGTACTTGTCAATACCTGGTAACAGTAGTCACTAACTTCCTACAGTTTGATATTTTTAGTTAACCTTCTGTTTGATTTATAAATGATGAATTATTCCTAAAAATCAAAACTGTATTATTGATGGATAAGGAAGCAGACCATGAAATTGTGATGTGTCTTATGATAACCGTAAGTTATTACTTTAGCCACATATTCAAGTGTTCTGCCAACTTGTATTTTACCACAAAAGGAACTTTACCAGGTGACTAGTATACTAGATCTAAACCTTCAGAAAATATAAATTTTGCAGACATGACTATAAATCAGAAAAAGCAGCATTTTACCTGTCTATCATCACCTCTTAAAGTGAAGACAGCCCTTCCTTAAAGATGTACACACCAGGCTCCTTAGATGAGAGGCAGGCAAACATCAAGGATACGCTCAGGCTTCCAGAGTGTTTAGAAAACTTGGTGGGGCTTCCTTCTATCCTAAACATTTATACTTGGAGCAAGAAGCTCTTTCTTCAGTATAGGAGTTGGATGGAAACAGCCAAGGACAGCAGGTACTGTAGAAAATATTATGGGGAAGGGGGGAGGGTCAAATAGTAGCATATAGATGTCAATTGAATAAGAAAGGAACATTTTCGTACGTGTATGTGTTATACTTATGGGATGAAAAGTCTAGTTGCACTTAGAAAACAGGTGCATGGTGGTACAAAAATTAAGTATGCAGCTTTAAGGAGAAGGTAGGAGGTAGGGCTATATACAAAATGTTGTGATTTTGAAAATTTGAGAAAGAAGATAAGTTTAGGAATAGAATGTATCACTATGCTGATGGCATAAAGGCTGAATTATCCTGTAGGTTTGAATGATTTCAACTAGATTGATGGTTTTCCTTTTCATATAGATGGATAAGATTCATAAGCAGGTCTTAGTTTTCAATTAAATATGAGTGAAAGTGCTAATGAGGCATCCAGGTGAGTTAATTACTCGTAATACACATTCTCCAAAGACTGGCACAGCTGACTTTTTCATGACCTTTAGGATGATGGGATAAAAATAGGTCAACTCTTCCCTGCCAGTGGCGTAATTTTCACTTTGCAGTTAAGGTGATTTTTTTTTGTCATGCATTGCTCTAATAGTTAGCCATCCCTCCAAATATCTTTGTTGATCTCTTGGCGTACCATCCACGTTCTAAATTTCTACAATTCTCTGCTTTTAAAATGGACTAAAAATGGACTAACTTCAAGGTCAAGTGAAAACTGGCAACTGCCAATCCAAAGAACAATATCTCAGAATTCATTGCAGTTCTACCTGCTGTTCATCCCATTCTTGACCTAGTTAAGAAGGTCAAAAAGGTTAATCAACTTATAGACCAAGGGTCATCCCTGGGGGAGTGGACTCATCAAGGTGACCTTTAGCTGTTGCCATGGAGACAGGCAGCTACAGCACAGCTGTGTGGTTGTTGTAGATTCCTGATGGTAAAACAGGAAATGTAGAACATAGCAGGAGAAACTTGAGCAGTCAGGGTTGCGGGTAAACCTTTATCAGGACTGGCAGATAAAATACAATTGAAATTTCATATCAGACTGTCTGTAATTTTAACTTAACTTTAACGTATATTTCCAAGGGTAGTACCTTTTCTTTTTGCAAATGTTGAAGAACAATTAGAGCAGAGCGAATGTAAAATGTCAGTTTTTTTAGAAGAAATAACATTGAAAATAAACATTTTGTATTTGAAAGATTGGCTAATGTGTACAGAATAATAGAAAGGGCTCTTCAAAAACTGTTCTCTTGCCTTCTTCAGACTTTTGCAAGTCCTGAATTCAAAGCTTATACCTAAACTTGACGTAGTAAATTCCAAAAATTGTAGAAATAAGATGCTCAAGTGATGACAATCCCCAATTCCCTTGTGTGAGCCAAGCTGCATTCCTCTTTTGGTGAAATGTTACGGAACAATTAACACCAATGAGGTCTTATTGACCTTTCTGCTCAAGTCTAATTGCTCCCACCTCCTGCCAAATATTTGGGAATCAGGACGACACGAAAGCTTCCTCTTCTTACAACCTGACAGGCACGGGGACATGGACAAGGTAATTATGGACGGTGCTGATTTCTGTGTTGAAATATGAGTAGGATTATGTGATAATTCTATTAAGGTGAGGATCATTTATTGATTTATAGGCAGAAATCACATTTCTGATCATCTACAGAGATTTTGCTAAAAATGGAGTAGATTTGTAATTGTGTCTTTTGTGTAAATTTTACGTCTACAACTAGAAAAACGAATCTTGAATGAAAATCTTCTTTGATTCGGATGTTTTTGTGAAGCTGTTTCAGGCTGTTAGTGTCTGTTAATTGGGCCACCAATGCATTGTATTGATCAGTGTCAATTTTGGGAAGTCAGTTAGGCATAATAGTATTTTGGTATCGATTGTACCTCCTTTCTGACAGACGTAATTCTTTTAGATATACATGTAGTAGTAGACTTCAGGTACATGTATGCATGCTCAACACCCTGTCAGATACTAGGACACTGGTTTTGGACATTGTACTGAATAATCTGTAATATCAGCAACTTATTTTTGGGTATGAGTCAGACATCTTTGTTTGCATCTGTCACTCCTACGCAGAGTGACCTTTTCTGCATTGACAGTTATTGTTCATATAGATTGAGTCTTCATTGTGGCGAAACTGGTGATATGACATAATTGAAATAAATGATGCTTGAGTAAAATGTGGTTCACAGCAAAAACATAATTATTAATATTCAGTCTCTAAGCACAGGTAGTTCTTCATTTCAACAGCCAAATGAATAATGGTTTATGATCATTGCTACAGATATATAAAAAAAAAGCTTCATGTACTTCTAGGCATTTAATAATAAGTAAGATATTCTTGCATATACTTTTTCGTTCAATGTACAAAAATGAAGTGACAAAGGGACCCAACTCAGGGTGATCGCGGTCGCGTTGGCCAGGTGGTCACCTTGCTCAATGCTTGTGCCAATGGGAAAAATTTTTGGGACCGAGAAAGAGCGGTCACCATGGCCAGGTGGTCAGCTTGAAGAGGTATTCACCTTGGCAGGTTAGACTGTATGCAGAAATGCACGTAGCATGTTATAGTTCTGTTGTCTTTTGGGGACAAGCATATACCATACATGTAGATAGGGTTGTTTAAACACCTGATTGATTTTGAGCCTTGACTTATACAACTCTTACCTGCTGTACCATCTGTGTTCAAGGTTTAGTGCCTTCGCTGTACACACAGTCTGTGTATGTAGAGGAAACAAACTTTGACTACAGATGTTGCAGGGGCCAAAGAGTCCTGTGCTGAAGGATATCAGTCAGAAAACACTCTCTATCCCTTTTACTTCAGCCAGGTGAATTAAGTAATTAGTTGTAACTTAAAGGCCTTTTCTATCAGTACCAACTATGCAAAGGGTTTGGTTCCTCCACTGTCTATACATCTAGTGTAGAGGAATCAAAATCCAGAGGCAGGGCTCTAGCCGGCTCAATTTTTTTTCTGCTAGCTCAATTTTTCCCCCGTTTTCCCAGGTTCATGATTGGACCTGGGGGTACAGTGCTTCCAATCTAGGGGGTCAAAATTGGGATTTTCAAGCCTTTGAAAATGCAATTTCCCACATTTTGAGAGACAAATCATAGGATTGAGAGAGGTTGTTGGTGGTCCTTCTGGTGTATTTATATCTTTAATTTTTTAAATTTCCAAAGATTTTTGGTCAATTTTGTCAGTCAAGGTTGACAGAATGGCTTAGAAATATTTCCGTCACACACCACAAAGTTCCTGCAATTGACGGAAAACGGGTGCTTTAGCCTTGGTCTGAGGGCATACAGTCTCAGGGTGAAGGACATTGGTCGGTCAGTTAGAGAACACTTCGCTGGCCTGGTACTTCAGCCATGTTTGTTCTAGAGGTCAGTGAGGGTCAGCTGAGCAGGTAAACACCAAGTAGAGGCCACTTGGTTTATCAGCCTGTTCATCTGTAGCCAGCTGTCCGGCGGGCAACTCTTGCGTCACTGCGGACGTTACGATCGCACTGCCTTGTACGGGTGACCATCCATACGTGCATACCGTTGTACAAAACGGAAAGCCAAGATGAGCTACAGGTATTTCCAAGGAGGGGGCTACTTGTCAGCAGAGGAGTTTGGGTAAGTAAGCGACGACTTGTTAAGCTGCTGTGTGGTCAAGCCGTTGTTTAAAGAGGACTTTCTTCGCTGCAGTGTCCACTATTGATCATTCGCAATGGCTGACCAATGAATAGGTGTCCCACTTTCGTAACGCTAGCTTATTCTACAGTCATGGATGCCATCTTTTTCATGTTTTTTTTCTAGACTTTTGCAAGATTTTATACAGAGCTATAAAGGTACTTACTAAGGATTAGCACCCAGGGTTTAATAGAGTAGATGTCAAAACTTAAGGAGGTTTGTTG